AAAAATCTTTAAAAAAACCCATATTCTGTTAAGTAACTTCATATCATATTTATACAAAAGAAATGAGTTCATTTCAGAAAATACAGATGGGGCAGAAAAAGATTGAAAAAAATGGCTGATGATCTTACCACCCAGTATTTTGTCTCTCTGTCTATTAATAGTCACTCAGCATATATTTAGCAAAATGTGACAATACTATACTTAATATTTTTATAACTTCCTCTTTTTATTTACTGTGTTATCATATAAATAATTGTTTTACTTTATTTTCCATAGCTTAAGAGCAATTTATTTATCCCATCCCACATTTTGGGACACGTGGATTGTTTCTAGTTTCTCCATGTTAGAAATGGTAAAGCGATGAGTATCTGTGGATCATTCTGATGCCAGACATCATGAAGGCATTTTGCTGCTTAATGCTTACGCAGGACTAAACTGGAATACTAGACTAGACACTGTACTAGATTAGGGGTTGATAGACTTGTTCTGCAAAGGATTAGGTAGTCAGTTTTTCAGGGTTTGTAGGCCAAACCATCTCTTTTGTGGCTGTTTGTTCAACCCTGTTGTTGTAATGTGAAAGCAGCCATAGATAGTACGTAAACAAGTGAATGGGGCTGTGCTCCAATAAAACTTTATTTATAAAAACAGACGGTGTGTGTGTTTGCTTGTGCGTGCAAATTTGGTACACGGGCTGTGGTTTGCCCAAGTCTGTTCTAGAGGCAGTGTAGGTGCACAGGCCAATTAGGTTTAATGAAGAGCTGGAATTTTGTTACTTCTTCATGATGCTGACCATATACGGTAGGATAGAATTATTGTTCCTTTATTAATTGATGAGCTTAAGTTTCCTGTTACATACATTTAATAGTTTAAAGGAAAAATCTCGTGTTTTGAGAGTCATAGAATTTAAAAATGGTGCAACATTGAAACCTTTTCAGGTGAGAAGTTTTAAATGTGTTTTGCTATGTACACTTTTATGTTGAAACAAAGGGAATGTGACTGTTTAGACCCTGGTCTCAGGTGTGCTCTGTCTGGAGGAGAGAAGAGATGGAGACCCTTGACTAAAGCTTGCACTTCACATTCTGGAATAGAGGGGTGTCGGGCCAGGGCTTACTAATGCACTATTTGTCATGCACAACACAGTTTTGAATTAAGTGCATGTGTTTTTAGGCATTTTCAAATCGTGGCATCTCTTTCATGTATAAGATCAACATGGGTTTGCAAGACCATGAGCAGGGCAGAGTAACATCCCCTTTCAAGCCACTCTTGTTCTGAGCTCAGGTGTTATAGATGAAAAGCAGTTCTAAATCCCGTTTGCACATTGATACCCTCTGTGGCTTAGGTAAGTCTTTTAGCCTGGGGTTTTTAAACCAGTAATCTGTTAACTGGCAGCAATCCATGGGAAAATGCACTTAATTTATTGTGAGTCACAGATTTTGAGGGTAAAAGACAGGATCCCAGGAGAAGACTGGTGGTCTAAGTAGAAAGATTAAGGAAATATTACAGTTTCACAAAATAACGCATCTGGAATTTTCAGTTATCAAGGAAAGAAAACTCAACACCACTGTTAATATAGTGATGGGACTTGTGGGTGGAAAAGTTATATACCAATGACATCTTTAGTGTAGTTCCTTGGTTTAGTGAAAAGGGGATTAAACTCTTCCTCTGAGATAGTGGTTCTTAGTAGCGGGTAGGGGACATTTTTGACTTCCAGGACAAATTTGGCATTGTCTGGAGACATTTCTGGTTGTCACAACTGGGGTGGGATGTGTGCTATTGCCATCTAGTAGGTAGAGGCCAGGTGTGCCATTAAACATCCCACATTGCACAGGACAGTCCTCTACAACAAAAGATTATCCAGCTCAGAACGCCAGTAGTGTTGAGACTCAGAAACCCTGGTTTGAGACAATGATGTGAAAAGTGATCTTAGTTAATGTTTATAGTGGGGTCTAAATTAGAAAATCCCTGACCTCGTCATTGTAATGTAACATTTCCCCTTCCCCAGGAATTGGTTCTTATTCTGAAAATTTAGGCTGAGAGTTCAGATTTCTACCTCGTTCTTCATCTACGCTGTGTTTGAACAAGAAAACAGTTTCCACCTGTATAAATTTAACACACTCTGTTGCCTTACATTATTGCCAAACTTTAACAGCTGCTTAAAAATTGCCATTAAGATGCCATCATAATATCATTAGTTTTAGAGCACATTAAGAACAGTCTTCCAAATGAAAGCCGTCTCGGCAGGGTTGGTTTAGTCACTGCAGTAGTCAGAGGTAGTCTGATGTGGGAGATTTAGGAAGTGGACCCCTCACCGTTTATAATAATAGTGTTTTAGATAAACTTCGCTAGTTATTTCTCAGCTGCTTTATCAAGAGTAAACGAAGGGTATAGTCATACAATGGAATATTATTCAGCAACAAAAAGGAATGAAGCACTGATTCGTGCTGTGACATGAGTAAACCCCGAACATTTGTGCTGAGTGAAAGAAACCAGACACAATCGTGCAATTCCGCTGCTATGAAATGTCCTGAATAGGCAAATCCATAGATCCAGAAAGTAGCTTGGTGGTTGCCATGGTGAGGAGAGAAAGAGTAGGGAGTGGCTTTAATGGATACAGAGATTCTTTGTGGGGTGATGAAAATGTCATAGGATTAGATAGTTGTGATGGTTTCAAAACCTTTTGAATATATTAAAAACCACTGAGTTGTTCAGTTTAAAATGGTGAATTTTATGTTATGTGAATTATATCTCAATTTTTTAAAATGCAAAAAAAAAAACAAACAGAAGAATGAATGTAAGAAACACTCCTTGTCCTTTAGTTTCTCCATCGCTGCCATCATGTGGCTACTTGTTCATGGAGACCCACAGACCTCTGGGTCTGTGTAGCCCAGCTCAGACTCTGAGTCTCTCGTCATGGCCTTCTGGTGGCTCCCAGAGGCACTTGGTTCTGCTCTGGTGTCACCTTGCCTGCTGGTGGGGTTTAGGAGTGAAAACTCCTGGCCTGGCTCACTTTGGACTGTGTAAGCTGCAAAGCTTGATCTGGATTTTAGAAGTTCATATTTTGCATAGTACTTTTGTTTTTTGATTTCCCAGAAGCTGCTTGACTTGAAACTTTTGTTCCAGAGTTTTGCTTTCTTTTTGCTTTTTTTTTTTTTTTGAGACAGAGTCTCACTCTGTTGCCCGGGCTAGAGTGCCGTGGCATCAGCCTCGCTCACAGCAATCTCAAACTCTTTGGCTCAAGCAATCCTTCTGCCTCAGCCTCCCGAGTAGCTGGGACTACAGGCATGCACCATCATGCCCGGCTAATTTTTTTCTATATAGTTTTAGTTGTCCGATTAATTTCTTTCTATTTTTAGTAGAGACGGGGTCTCGCTCTTGCTCAGGCTGGTTTCGAACTCCTGAGCTCAAGCATCCTCCCGCCTTGGCCTCCCAGAGTGCTAGGATTACAGGCGTGAGCCACCGCGCCCGGCCTCTTTTTGCTTCTTTTTGCTCATTCAATGCTTGATTCTGTAGCCTGGGACTAATTTGAATGTTAGCCCCATTTCTTGCAGGAATTATCTAAGCAGTGGATTTGCATAAAGGACAGAGAGGTGAGTGTGAAGTGAGAGATGTAGTTTATCATCACAGGAGACGTGGAAGGAGTAAAGGTGAGTATTGGAGAAGAAAGCAGAGTAGCAGGCAATGGTTTAAGTCAGTAACCATTTAATTTAATAATTGTCTAAAGAGAAGAGAGCAGATGAAAGCGTGAGAGATGGGCCGGTACTATACTTTTAAGATTTAAAATGGTAGGGGAGCCCTTGTCTGTGTATAATAGAACTTACCATGTGCCAGAACATGCTGAGTCACTGAGTACGTTACTCACTGAATTCTCTGTTTGCTAGTATTTGGCTGAGAATTTTTGTATCTCTGTTCATGAGGGATATTATTCTATAGGTTTCTTTTTTTGTTTTGTCTTTTCCTGTTTTGGTATCAGGGTGTTACTGGCTTCATAGAATGAGTAGGGAGGAGTCCTTCCTTCTTGGTGTTATGGAATAGTTTCTGTAGGATAGGTACCAGTTCTTTGTAGATCTGGTAGAATTCACCTGTGAATCCGTCTGGTCTGGGACTTTTTTATTACTGTTTCGATCTCACTGCTCATTATTGGTCTGTTCCGGGTTTCTGTTTCTTCCTGGTTCAGGCTTGGGAGGATGTGTGTTTCCAACAATGTATCCATTTCCTCTAGGTTTTCTAGTTTATTTGCATAGAGGTCTTGGTAGTAATTCCGGATGATTTTTGTATTTCTGTAGTATCAGTTGTAATGTCTCCTTTTTCATTTCTGATTGAGGTTATTTGAGTCCTTTCTCTTCTATTTCTGGTTAAACCGGTTAGTGGCCTATCGATTTTGTTTATCTTTTCAAAGAACCAATTTCTTGTTTCATTGATCTTTTATATTGTTCTTTTTGTTTCCATTTCATTTAGTTCTGCTCTGAGCTTTGTTATTTCTTTTCTTCTGCTATCCAATGAATTCTCAAAACAGCTTTTTGAGGTGGGTGGTGGACTCTGTTTTCCAGATGAGGAAACCTGAAGTTTGGAGGGGTCAGGCAACCTGTGCATTCACATGTACGGGTCCTTCAGCCTCAGGACAACTTTAGATTTCTGCGTTGCCTCTCAGTACCTAAAGAATTGGATCTTTGTTCTGGCTGACACTTTAATAGGGAAACATTTCAAGCCAAGTGAACAATGTCATGGGTGGAACCGAGAGATAAAGGTGAGAGTCTGAGCTGGGACTGTGGAGGCCTCATGTATTCCCAGATGGATAGCTGAGTGATGGCAGCAAAAGGAGGTATAGGTTTTGACTTTTGCATCAGGCAGGTTAGATGGGAGTTTGCTAGCCGAACCAAGATTCTACCCTAGAGGATAATACAACGTGTGACAAATCAAGTGTTTTATTTTATATAGGAAGCCAAAAACAGGAATACTAATGCTAAACATGGGAGGCCCTGAAACCCTTGGAGAAGTTCACGACTTCCTTCTGCGGCTCTTCTTGGACCGAGACCTCATGACACTTCCTATTCAAAAGTAAGATACACATAAACACCCGCACTGTTTTGTAATGTGTGCAAGGCATTTTGCCTTACACATATCTCTCAACTCTTTAGTTTCAAAAAAATAAGCAGTTTTAATGCATACTTGGTAATGGTCAGGGCAGCAGCATTAGTTTCTGTTGGGTATCAGAAGGATATGATCTTGGAAGAATTGCAAGGGAGAGAGAGAGCAAGTTAGTGAGGATTCTCCTTGAGCCCTTTCCTTCCCAGAGCCCTAGAAATTGCAGTTGTCTTGACGCAGCCGAAGCACCTTTAAAGATTTTTAAAAATATATTTGTGCTTTGCACTCTGATTAACATGCAGGGAAGCGATAATTATTATTCATTTGTACCACGAATGTGGATTGTTGCTGTCCGCCTTCTCTTCCTTTTCTCATCCTTCCTTCTCTCATCCTTTTCTCCCTTCATCCTCTCCTTTTTTCTTTCAAAATAGGTTTTTGTAATGAAAAATGCCTGTGATAAAAATGCAAATAGTGTAAAAGTATTTAAAGCAAAAAGCAAGTGTGCCTTTCACCTTGAACTCCATCCTCCCAGTCACCCACCCAGACGTGAGCACTGTTACATCCAGAAGTAGTCCCTGTGTATCCAACCATGGATAAACACACACACACACACACACACACACACACACACAGACACACACACACACACACACACACACACACGTCCCCTCCCCACTTTGTTACAAAAATGCAAACGTGCTTATGCACATTGTTTAGCACTTTG